TTGTAACTCTGTCTGTGTCACGGTTTCCCTCCTACTTTTTTTCTTTCTTCCCTGAACATTAGTTTTGCATTCAGGGCTTACGTCATGTTAGCAGTGAGGGGAGGAAGGTACAGTCTTGAATGAGGGTTGAGCAATGCTCATTAACAAGGAAATTTACATCACGCATGAAGTGTATCTTGGCACGTCACTGAAGAGGTGTATTTTAAATTCAGTGATGGCCAAAATGGGAGTTTTCTTGTTTTTTTGTCGGCCAATGTTAGCAGCAAAATCGCCACCCGCCTCCAGTTAAAGAGAAGGCCGCATTTGTTGACCACTTACGTCCCTGCCCCGCACCGTAAGCTGTTCCAATTTGTAAGCGCCTACTCATGTTGCCGACAAAATCCCGAAAACGTGGGCTGCAGCTGAGTATCCTATGCGACCGACAATATCCCAGAACTCATTGAGTCAGCAAATTAAACAGAAAAACAAAGATGGATGTTTTTTTTTTGTTTGTTTGTTTGTTTATGTCGGAGTATAGAAATTTATCACAGACCGAAGAATATAAGTTAAGCAACTTAGATGAAAAAACTTTTGTTACAATGAGATGTTAAATAAAATGCAGTTACATGTACTGATACTGGAGCTAAACCCAAATTATTAATGCTTTTTATTTGTTTTGTTTTTTTTTTTTACTAGCTGTGAATGTAGCACAGATTTAGAAGGTCTGCATAATTAGCTTCACTTGTAATTAAAAAAAAATCATGTTTATGGTTTTAAAACACAATACAAACTTAAGTGTATTAAATAAACACATTCTTTTTGCAGTCAAAACTAAAATGAATTAAGAAGTGCCAATTCAGACACGGTTTCTAACCATCTCTGTTAACTGTTGCTTTGTTTTGTGGTCACAATAAAAAATGTAAAAGTGACTAAAATCCAAAAGATGTTTTAATGTCAACACAACAAAATAGCTGTACGTTTTATTTTGAAAAGCCAAACCCCATATCCAAAGCTCATTTTGACTTTTTACAAACTGGCATTTAACAAGTTAAATGAATGTTTTCTGTTTATTAGGGTTCTGTGAAGAGGTTCTGGACATTTACTTTCTTCCCTTTAGAAGATAGCTCTTTAAATGAACTCATTTTGAAGAAACCAATTCTTTCTGACTAATTTGATTAATTAATAGCTGGCTACATGGAAATATCCAAGTTCAAATGAAGCATTAGCTCAATAATCTGGTAAAAATTAACTATTTCTTTGTTCAAAAATGTATCTAGAACTGGTTGGTTATTATTGCTCGTAACCTTAACCATTTGCCAGCTTTACCTCAATCTGTAATATCTGTCTGCTGTGTAGTTACGGTATGTATGCATAATATAGTGAGTAAATTAGAGAAGTTCTGGTGCATTGTTGAATGAGCAGTTTCATTAAACTAATTGATCTGATTTTCCTGTGAGAACAGCTCAAAATCAACTTACCAAGGAACACATGGAGTGATAACACGATGATGCCAGGAAAAACTCAATCTGCTCTGCTCACCACAGGAATAGCAGACGTAAAGAGTTTCTTTCAGACGTGTAAACAGTCCACCAGCTTCCAAGTGGCTGGTGATTGTTTAAATTGTCGTGTTTGAGCACAGGCCATATTTACTGCTCTGCGTGACCTTCACACTGTATGCTGTAATTTCCCAAAGCTCCGCACATTGCCGTAATTATGTGAGGGTAAACACACGGATGAATGATTGAACAAACACCCACGACAAATCGTGCATTCGCAGAAACGGAGGCACAGAAAACCAGGTAGGGTGTCAGTGTGTGGAAGTAACTTAAGCACCCAGTCACTTGTGACAGATTCACACTTTACTGCATTACTTTCCAACTAATTGTGCAACCTTCAGTGCCAGGTGATGGTCAAGGCAGCTCCTCTGAATAGTAAAAAAATGTAGTTACTCAGCTGTTTTCTTAAAAAGCCAACATACACCTTGCAGTAGTTCCTGCTTTGGCACGAGCACATTAAACAAGTTAAAGATGGATATTTACAAAGAAATAAAAGGTAAAGAGACTTCAACACACCTGCAGCCGACTACAGACTCATTTTTAACATGCATGTCCAGCATCTATCACGCAAAGTAAAAATAAACTCTGTGCCTTTGGCTAAAAATACAGAAGTGCAAGATGTGCAAAAAGGCGGCACTAAATGTGGCCAACATATTAATGTGGTACATCTCTTTACAGCACATCTTTGACTGGTGTGAGGTTTTATAGGAAATCAAACAGAGAAATAACAAAAGGAACGGATCAGAATTTGCTCAGCTCTGACTGTCCAGTCTGTGATAATGGAACTGCAGCCTCCGCTCGTCCGCAGATGGAGGAGAGAGATGGGACAGAGTGAAGAAGGAGGCGGCCAGCGCACGACAGATGAAGTAATGATGAATGCACTCGGAAGCTGGAGGATGACTTATTGTAGAAAGCCTACATAACTATTCCTGAGCCGATGTAGTGATGGTGCACGGCTCGAAACCCATTATGATGGCGGGGACTGCAGTTGTCCCTCCATTAACGCTCTAATCCTGATGCCTACACCTAATACGTTACGACAGGTTGGAATTTTTCCACTTAGTCGCCTTTATTTCTGCTCACGTATCCTGCAGATGCAGATTAGCTTCTGTATAATTAGTCGGCGCGTCTGTGGTTAAAGGAATAACTTATTTTGAATTTTAGACCGGGGAAATGTGTATTTGTGACTGCATTTTACAAAATTAAAAGACAGACAAGGTGCTAATGAGAAATGGAAAACGGAGTGACGTGACATAAATGAACTGGGAGTAGTGTGGCGCTGTAAGCACTGTTGTTGCGTTCAGACACTACAGCAAATCCGTATATACTGCACTGCCAGTCTGCAAGTTCGCTGCAGAATTTCATTAACCTTGCAGCACCAAATAATTGTGCTCTTAACCTGATCCAGCCAGTCAACGGTTGCAGCTCTGCAACCTGCTGTCCATTCTGAATTTTTAATGAGCCTACTGAGACAATAACAACATGCAGAACCTGTATAGAATCATCCTTCATTTAATATCAGAACATAGTTTCAAATGTGTGGTTGTGTGTGCGAATCCTAGCACTTTTTTAAATGTTAAATTACAAAGCAAGAATAGCATAAAATGGTAAAAGAAACACCACGACCCTGTTAAAGTGGACAAATCATGCAAAATCCACATTTTTTGCCATTAAATGCATGAATTAATTTGTAAATAAAACAATTCTGTGCCACTGTGCGGTCGTAAACCCCATCATCAAACTAGAAGGAACCACTTCGTAAGATGGAGGGGGCGGGGTGTGAAGCTCCTCATTTGGATTTAAAGAGACAGCCTCAAAATGAGTTGATCTGAGACTAACCTCAGAAAGAGGGGCTTGTGGAGTTACAATAAGGAGGAATACAGACCAAAGCATTGCAGTTCCACTTTATATAGACCCCAGCTGAATGACCGAAATGTGAAAAAGTGGGATTTAAAAGCATCAAATGTCTCCTTTAAAGTCAGCTGCCATACAAAACTGATAATGCCAGGGTTTGGGAAAAGGTCATGAGAACATGCGAGCGAGACACGTTTATCAAAGATGCATGAAAGGAATATTCTGCTAAAATATATAAGACTACATAGACTCATAATCATCATCATCATCATCAATGAGTCAAATAGGGAACAAATATAAAATAATTTCACACTTGAATTACTGTAGTAGTTCAATATTGTGTTTCTAAATATGAGACACTTGTCTTTAGTGTGAAACAAACATATTGAACTATAGAACAAAAAGTCTAGACGACTATATTTACTGTATGACTTACAGGTAGGTTTTTAAGCACCTTACTAAATCATTGAATGGTCTTTTGAACAAAAACAATATTTGTGTTTGTATTTTTGTTGCGGCTTGTCAGTATTAATTAAGTTTAAGCTATTTTCCCATTTTATGATTGAAATTTCATTAACCGAATAATTTTTTTGAGCAAAAAAATATTTACTTTAAAAAATACATGAAATTTTAGAAAACAAGACTAACTGGTGGAGCAGAGCAGATTTGACAGAGCCCTAATATATTGGAAGTACACTATTTTCCTTTTTTGTGTGTTTGTTAATTTAAATAATCTACATTCAGGTTAATACTTTGTTATTTTACAGGAACGTTAGACAGGAGAGTATGTAGGTAATTTTCTAATTGAAGAGCAATTCACTGTTCTCTAAGTGCTATAAAGCCATTTCAAGAACATGTTGTACTTCAGCCAGCATCATAGCATATAATAGAGATAATACCTCCAAGGATATCTGGCATCAGAGAGGCTAAAAATATACATCTTATTATGCTGAGCTTTTTCTATCCTAACTAAACAACATTTCTGGTTAGATCGTAATTTAGGGGCTTTTACGGTATCTTCAAACATATCTACTGCCTGAAATGCCTTTTTCATGATCTAAAGCAATGCTCTCTTTCAGTCAGGGTAATCAAATCATTACCACAGGATAGAAAACACTGGAGCTTGGATAAATAGCCTGAGTCACAAAGTCCAGTGAGTCAGTCATAGGTAATGATGTCTTATTTTTTGGTTGTCAAAAGGGACTGAACCTTTCAAATTTAAATGCATATACCTGCAAGAACTGATATGATTGTGGAAACATTTTCAATGCATGAGATTTAAATACAACTAACCAGGCAAATCTAAATTATGCGTAAATGTTTTTGTGCAACATATATTTATGGTTCAACCAAACATTATGTGCTTTTGTTGTTTTGTGAAGTGTACTACAGCTAAAAGGCAGTGAGCCTTTTCATTAATGATCAAGACCACCAATTAAAATTTAAATACGTTATATAAGCCCTTATCAAAAACCCTTCAAAGGTGTGGAAAACAATAATCCCAGCAAATATTAGCAAAAAATATGCATAATGAAATTCAGTTAAAACATTTTTGCCGTTCAGTAGAATAAATATTCTTTTTTCAATATACAAAAATAGCAAAATACGCACCTCTTCCCACTGATGTATGTATCTGATGAGCCGGGACAATCTTAACAGACGGAGGAGACTGAGGATCTTGGTGAAGCGGACGATTCGCAGTGCTCGTGCTGTTTTATAAACCTCAGAGTCAAAGCCTTTCTCCACTATTAGAAAGATATAATCCACTGGAATGGAGGACAGGAAGTCCACAACGAACCAGCTCTTCAGGTAATTCATCTTGATGACCTTGGGATCGAGGATTATCTCGGAGCTTTCCTCGTTGACAATCCCCGTCCTAAAGTTCATGACCAGGTCCACCAAGAAGATGGTGTCCGAAGCCACGTTGAAGACCAGCCAGGTCGTGGTAGTCTGCTCTGAGAAGAAGGTTATTCCCACAGGAATGATGATTAGATTCCCCATCATCATGATGAGCATTATCAAGTCCCAGTAGAACCTGCAGAACAAACACATACAAATTAATACAGTAAATGAGACAAGCGCTTTGTTTACTTAAACCAGGGGTCTGCAACCTGCGGCTCTGGGGCCACATGTGGCTCTTTGGTCCCTCTGCAGTGGCTCTATGAAAATGTGACCAAATATAAAAGAATATTTTTTTTTGTTGTTTTTTTTTATACCCACAACATAAATCAATTTGTATGCAAATATGTGATCAATACTGAAACAAAAAGTAAAACATGTTAGCTCATGCGAGCCTGTTGTTTACTTAAAGATTCCAATTTCTTTCTCTATTTCAAATCCATCAGAAATACGTTTAAATAATTTGAAGACTATAATAATAAGAATTAGAAAATAAATATGCCTGAATAATTCAGATGTACTCGTTTTTATGAAATTCAGTATAAACTACACAGTATTTTTCTTGTTTACATGAAAATGTTCTTTTTATTTGTCCTGATGTGTATAATATTAAATAGTGTAATAATGATAACAATATTCCTTTAGTTTTATATTGTCACCTCCACTGACCATAAAAGTTCCCAAAAAGGCCTCGAAAAGGCCCATGGACCACCAGTTGATAATCCCAGTTGTAGCTTGTTTTGCGGCTCTGGACACTTTTATTAGTGAGACAAGGAGCAGAAATGGCTCTTTTGATCGTAAAGGCTGCAGACCCCTGACTTAAACTGTCAGTCAAAATGAAAAAAAAACTGGGCTCAAGTTAAACAGGTTTAACTCTAGACGAGGGCTAAAGTTATTACAATTTGTTCCACTGGGACAAATAAATGCCTGTATCAATTTTCATGACTTATCCAATAATTGTTAGAGCACTTTACCGACAATGCCGCAAACCCCAACCCTCCTGACAGCTGAGACTAATCAGCAGAGAGAATCTGAAGATGGATGTGCAGAAGCTTTCACGTCAGAGCGAACAGAGGGGGGAAAACACGAGAGCACATACCTGAGCTGTGACAAAATCTCTTGGGATGAAAGTTAACTATGATTCAAGGACACCGTGTTATCTACCGCCACCACTTACTGCATGTTTTCAGGGCCCTCTAGACTGAGACCCTCTCATCCCTCACCGCTGTGTTAATGTCCCCACCCTCTGCCACGCCACGAAAAAAAAAAGAGGCAGAAGTGATTCATCAGTTCCACGCTCTATTCGCCAAGCGTCCTGGGCTCCAATAATGATCAAGCAACCGCAAATGAAAATAGATGCTTCCAGGAATCCTATCTCATCCTAAAAACTCTCCACTGATGCCAATCCTTGCTGCCTGTTTGCTCCGACTTGCCGGTCATCCGTTGAAGGTGGAGATGTACTTGCTAGCTGATTTGGCAGGCGGCCTGTCTGGCTGGAAAACTGGCCACTCAGTAATGGATCTGTGTGAACAAATTAAACCAAGGCCTGGACCTTATAAATACCCACAGATCATGTGTCCGATAATTGTCCTCACTTTAGCCAAAGAGTGGTCTTCCGGGTGGTTAATAAAACGCAATGGAGGTATTTTTACACCAGAACCTTGAAGTGGATGTTCAAGAATAGTACATGCTCTTTTTATTTCATTTTAGCTTAACAGTCACCTCAGATGTGTATTATTTCAAGATACTTATTAAATAATGACGGTGACTCTGCTATTGACACTACACATATTTTTAAATCCTAAAACTTAAAAGATATGTACCCAATTGGCTTAGGGTAAGGGTTAGGTAGGTTCGGCTGGTTGCTTTAATGTCTTAAAAAAGGCACATTTGTGTGCAGTGTGTGGCATGAGTTATTCCTCTAGTTCTACTGTAATTATTTTTATGTGTAATAAGAAGCTGCAATGCTGTGACTCATATTTTCAGTTCCTCAAGACACACAAAAACTATTTTTCCTCCTGTCTGGAGAGGACGGAGAACAAAGAAAGGTAAAGATGAAACAACAGGGATTGAGATATTCTGTGTCTGTAGTTAGAGCTGAGTGTTTTATTAGAACAAAATGAAAAGGAAAACCACTAAGAAGGTTGGGTTTTGAGTCTAGAAAATGTTGTCATGAAAAGGAAAATATCCACCAAAGTTCCATGTTTTTTGTTTAGGTTTTTTTTTTTTCATGTGGATGGCCTTGAAAAGAACAGCTTCTTGCCTCTTAAATAAAAAAAAGTATGAATCGGCAGACTTCTTACTTTTTCTTCATACGTTGCATAAAGCTCTTATTTCACCGCTCCGATTCTCAGAATGCTCCAGTTGAATAGGTAACAAATGTCAGTTCAAACGACTGCACCTCTAAGACTGGCAGCACATTCAGTCCTTAGTTTGTACCCTTCAGATGCAATGCATCAAGCAGTGGGGACACTGTTTCCTTTCCTTTTCTGCAGTTGCTCCGGTGCTGCACCAGCTATGCAGTCAGTCACCTCTACATCCCTGGCTTTACATTCTAAACTCAGCCTGAACATGAAACAGGTAACTGTTCCCACTGATTTCGACGACAGACTCTGGTTAGACGCAGAAGCGTCGCAGAGACATTTCTTTCTCAAGTCTCACATGAATGTAACCTTTATGAATACAAATGAAACAAGCTCGCTACCCCTCTTTCGAAACAAACAAAACAATTGAGACTGACTGTTTCCCCTAAAACCAGAGCTGAGTGACGCACACCTCCAACTATCAATCTGAGGCAGAGGAAACTCTTGTGAAGATAGTCCCGCTTCAAATCAAGCCAGTACTTTTTCTCTTCCTTTTTCCTGTAGGTTTCCTCTTTACAACAAGCGATCCATCATAATCAGTGCCAGACCAATCCTGCCAAGCAACAGAGGAAACCCCACATGATCTTACTCAGCACAGCACGGCCCAATCCAGTCTGCAGACTAACAGGTATGGCAGCACAAGAGGTCACACGATGACGACGTGTACAAAATACAATCTGATGCTCAAATAAAGCTTGCATAACAAATGTTATATTCTGCCTTCATTTATTGGTTAACATGGCCACTACTGTTAAATGTCTGTTTTGTTTGTTTTTTTCATTTTAGTAAAGGAGTAGTGCAATTACATCCTTTATCATACAAGATAAATTGTGATGTAAGAAATGTTATTTTAACAATTATGAAATGTTTTTCTGTTTCGGTCTGTTTAAAACAGACTCCAGCATGAAACATGTCAGAGTCCTACAGGACAACAGCATAACTACGGGTGTTTGTGGTCATGCATGAAGCCTGTCTAAAAAACTATGAATAATAAATATTACTAACCTGCTATTAAATTTTAAACAGTTACTGCGTACAAAGAATATGTTGGATATTGAGTTTCCAACACTCCTATACAGCAGGATAAAGCCTGTGTGAGTTGTGGCATCATTCATAGGCTGCGCTTACGTAAGACATTTTTTGATCATACAAGGTCCTGTCAAGGTGCAACAAAGTTGGTGATTTTCTGATGATTATTATTGTTATTATTATCAATTATGAAAGGTAGATCAGAAATCTGGAATACATATTATAATCCCCATCACTTTCAAGACAAGAGGTAATCCCTAAGCAAAGCATTTTTTTTTCATTTTCTTTTTTACAACCGAACTCCTGACAAATCATTATTTGGAAAATGTCATGAGATGATAACCTACAGGAGGGGCTTTTACCAGCACGAGTTAGAGAAAACCTCTTTCGATAGTGCAGAAGTAAAAGGGTCAGTCTGCTTGAGCAGATACACATATGCTCCTATTAAGATGCTTTTCTTTTTATTTTGCTGTTTTATTTCAGGTAACATCCACTTCCCTGACAGAAATCCAACCCAGCCTGATTAATGCAGCTTGGTTTCTAAAAAAAAAAAAAAAAAGAAGAAGAAGCAGTATGAATTTCATTTCATTGCTCGGGTCGTACTCTTTAGCCATCTTTAGAAGGGGTCAATCTCCTTACGTAATTGTTTTCAGAGTCTACTAAGCTCATTGACTGTTGCACTAATCCTTGCCCACCGTGGTTGTACATCTGTGTGTGCACATGTGCATGTGACTCTGCATGTGCTCAAGTGCAGGATTACTTTTAGCCAAGTTACTGCTCACAAGGAGGGGTAAGGAACAACCAGTGCACGCTTTCATAAAGTTTAGAGCTATTGTCTGCAAGGTATCTCATTGCTGCGCTGTGATCAATACAAACTTTTTTTTAAATCAATCAATAGCAGCAGGGTAAGGCTACACAGCCATGGGGGCTACTGAATAGTTGAGTGTTTATTGGTCTTCAGCTGAGGATTCGCAGCTCTGACAGGAAGTGCTGCGTTTAAAGACCCACCTGAAGTTCAGAACCATGGACAGCTCCAGGATAACAGAACTTCAATTCAAACTGAACTTCAAGCACCATGGACAGCTGCAGGATAAACTAACACCAAGCCAAACTGTAAGAAAGACCAGGGCCAGATAAGATGTCTAATTGGTCAAGTAGTGAACTGTAAACATGCATCTTGTGAGGATCCAGTTCTACTTGCACATGATCTCATGCCATCAGCATTTCAGCACACTCAGCTGCAAATAGGTGGGGGGGTGTCTAAACTGTCTGGGGCAGTTTTGGAACTCTAGTTTACTGTTTGGGGCAAGACGCCTGGGC